AACTAGTGATAACAAGGCGCTCTGATTGTTTTTGTTGTAGAATACGATCGGGGATATATTCACATGTTATAGAAACGAAAATTATGGTGTATTAAATTGATTTTAAGATAAAAAATAGACGATAAAGAATTAACTTGACGGAGCACAAACTCAAAACACACGGCAGCAACAAACAGGAAGAAATTATCCTCATTAGTTCCTTGTTACTTAAGCCCAGTGTTTCCTGTGTCCAGTGTTGCGTGTCATCTATGTATAGTGGTTGTGTTCCTAGTTCTCTGAGTTCCCTTTCAGTCGGTCACTCTCGACGTCACGTCTCCGTTCCCTCCTTCAGGGAACGAGGGTTACATACGTAACCGAGACGTTCTCTGTGTTTGAGTTATAATAAATGTGGTTTTCCGATCCTGCTCCTGCGTCGTGCTCTTCACAGCAGCCACACGTGACAGCTGCAAATGCATATTGCTTCAAAAACACAGCAACAACCACCACACCAAAACAATTATTATTCTTATTGAGTACCATATGTATAACTTTTATAAATACAAAAACAGAAGGCCAAAATGATCTGCTATACGGCTGGATTAATTGTTGTAATAAACCAAATGTATATTTCCTCATTTAAAGGGATAGTTCCCAAACAGTTGAGTCATTGCCATTGACTTCTATAGAGTAAATGATTACAGAATTTTCATTTTTGGATGACCTATCCCTTTAACAGATGCAATTGCCCAAAGCAAATTACAAATAGATGAGTAATTTAACACATGTGGTCTAAGTGAAAATAAGCATCTCTTCTCGTTCTAATAGAGAGTCGTGATGGTGATTAACTCTGACAAGGTAGTTTAAAGTTTTAGCAACTTCAACACACTCAAGCTCTTCAGCAAGACTAAAGGTTTGTCATCTACACACGTGGACAGACCTGTCATGTCCTTTTCCTGTAGTACATCTCATACAGTCTTTATGTTTCCACCATCGCTCCTTGTTTTCCTCTAGCCTACAAGAGATGGACAGAACAGCGTTCGGCGAATGAGTGTAGCTCTCTCAGTTCAGTCCAGGACTTGACTTCAATAATGAATACGAAGTCTTTCAGCAGAAATGATTCATATCCAACTCAACGAGTTTCAAAGAACGCAAAAACTCAAATAGTGCCTATCTGAATCATTCAGACTGAAGACATTTGGAAATAAATAATTCTTGGACACATTTCATGCAAAGTTGCAAGAATTTTATTTTTCTTTATTCTGACCTTACAGGAGAACAGTGCTGATTCGAGTAGTTTGATGCTCTGATAAGCACAACATGCAAAGTACATACAAATATCTGGATCTCTCTGTCTGCTATCTTAAATATGTAGTATATATTTTCAAGGAGCTCCTTACCGTGCTTTCTGGGATTGTATTCTCAACATACAGTGCCTACGATACATAAAATGTAAACAATGTATAAAGCTCAATAAAATGTACGAGCATGAGTAAGAGAAAGCAAGTCAAATGCTAGCATAGGCCATATTGGGAAACTTGAGAAACAGTAAAAACATTTATAATGTTCCAAAAGATTTCTGTTTCAAGTAAATACTGTTCTTTGACACTGAAGACACTAAACACTAAAGCTGTAATAGCTGCTAAAAATTCAGCTTTGCCATCACAGGAATAAATTACATATTAGAAATCATAAAAGAAACCAGTCGCCAGTTTTTACATCAGTTTCAGCTCTTTAAGAAAGTTGTTGTTTATTGTAAATACTTCATTATGATGTAGTTTTAATTAGGCTCTCAGGGCAGGACTGATTGTTGATTCATCTATTTTCATAATTTAGCAGTTTAGGTGCTAATGAGTACTAACTGATTTAGAATTGGTCCCAGTACTTCAGTTTGATTGGTCATAGTCTCTCCATGCCTTTTAATCACTCTGTTTTTTCCTTGCAGTTTGAGTTCAAGGCAAAGAACGTGAAGAAGAAGAAAGTGAGCATAGTGGTTTCCGTAGACGGGGTCAAAGTGGTGCTGCGCAAAAAACCCAAGGCATGTGTGATCTCATTAGCCCTACACCTCTGACATGACACATGAATATCATTATCCTGTATCAGAATTACAGTACTAGAATTTAGAAGTTTATATTTTTATCTCATTCATAATGAGCATTTGCAGTAGAGTCCCTGACATTTGCCTCGTTTTGACCTTAAGAGGAAAGAGTGGACGTGGGATGAGAGCAAGATGCTGGTTATGCACGACCCCATATACAGGTGAGATGCAGAAAATATAACAAAATAAATGATATTTCGACAAATGATATTGTATTAATGTTTAGCCTATGTTCACTTTTTTTCTCTCTGTTTCCTCCTAGGATCTTCTATGTATCCCATGATTCTCAGGATCTGAAGATTTTCAGCTACATTGCTCGTGATGGATCCAGCATATATTATTTGATTATTTATTATATAACATATATATTAGTTGTTATGCTAATATGTTATGCCGTTGTTATGCTAATAATATTATTTGTAATGAGTTTTGCACCCCACAGATATTTTTAATTTTAGAATTATTAATCGGATGTAAAAATTAAGATTATTCATATAATGTATGTTATATATATAAGATTCTAAATGCGATCTTTCACCTTTCTTCTCTCTCAGAGTCAGGCCATGCGGATAGTGCGGACGGTCGGTCAGGCGTTTGAGGTGTGCCATAAGCAGAGTCTGCAGCACGCTGAGCAGAATGCAGATGAACAGCCAGACGGCCCTGCAGACGGCCAGAGCGATCAGTCTGGAGAAGAGCCCAGCCCTGAAGGTGAGACCATGCCATCGCGTCAGAGCATTAATGCCTAAAACACGTCATAATAGAGTAAATCAAATCTGTGGAGTGCATTGTTGTGTAACTGGTTTCTTAAAGTGTGCATTATATTCTTGAAATGCTGCTGTTGTTTACAGCTCGTCATCTGACAGGCATGGAGCACGGAATGGATGATGTCACTGGAACGGAGTCACATTCCACAAAGCTCAGTGAGCAAGCTATGGATGACATTCTTCACGGTCTGTCAGAGCTCAACATGGTGAAACCTGGACAAACCCTTCAGGTGAGAGCGATCTGGAGTATGAGCATGACTGAGTGGTTTGTCCAGAAGAGAAGCTCTTGCATCATTTCTCCCCACAGACGTCTGTCGAATATCGCTTGTCAGCTGGAAATAAGGCTGTTTATAAATGGAAGAAACCACTTTCACCTTCTTTCACTTCTGTTTTTTCCCCTTTATCTCAACCTTATTCCTCCTTCTGGGTATTCAGTGATACTGTTATGTTGCCCCAGGCCTGCACACTATTTTCAAAATCTTTGCCTGACTTTAACCACTTAACTGTGTCTGAAGTGGAAATAATATCATACAGCCCCAGTGAGACAGGAATTTCATTTAGACAGCAACACACAAAAATCTTTAGATTATTTAAGTTCCACTCATACAGCAAGTCTCAGCTGAGTGAGCAGTTTTACAAATTTATGTAGGCTAAAAATCATGTTGTTAGGTCAGGATAAAAAGATTTTATATCCCTTTCACTGAGATTTGTTTGGCATTGTGACGTTATTTTAATTTCACTTCTCATTAGTGTAATGTGTAACTTTTCCTCATTATTCTCAGTGGTGATTATCATTATTTTAGGCCTTATTTGGACCACTGTAATAGTGTAAAAGATTACATACAAAAAATATTTTTTACCTACTATTTCAACAATGAGTGTAGGCTGCTACACTACAGTTTAAAACCTTTGGGTTGGTAAGATTTTTAGCGTTTTTGAAAGAAGTCTCTTATGCTCACCAAGGTTACATTTATTTGATTTAAACTATAGTCAAACAGTAATATTATCAACTATTATTTCAATTTAAAATAACCGTTTTCTGTATTTTGAAATGGAAAAGCTGAATTTTCAGCAGCCATTACTCCAGTCTGTCACATGATCCTTCAGAAATCATTCAAATATGATTTGGTGCTCAAGAAACATTTCAATGTTATCAATGTTGAAAGGAGTAGTGCTCATGATACTTTTTTTCCAAGGATTCTTTGATTAATTCATAAATTGAATAAAATTGTTAATTTTAAAACAAAATCTTACTGACCCAAAACTTTTGAGCTCTAGTGTATTATTAAATTAAATAAAAGCAAAAACATTCATTTAAAAAAATGAAATTAAAGGAATTTAAACATATTTAAACAAATCAATTCAACATATTACCATGATATATATAAATGCTTTTTATACTTTAAATAATATATTATTATTGTTTTACATTAGTATTATTATTTTTTGTTTATTTGTGCATTACTACAGTAATGAGATTTAGGGGTAGGGAGTACTTACTTGTCATAAATTTAATGTAATTTAAAGGCAAACTGTGGCCAGTCAGGTTGATTTGGCTGCATGTCCGTGTTTAAAAGTTCATATATCATACGAGAGAGCCATAAGGATTATTAAGTTCAAATTCAAAAATTGTTTGATGTTTGATATCTCTCCATCATTCATTACAGAAATTCCCAGTGCAGAAAGGCTGGCTAGCCTGAAAGCAGATAATGCATTCAGTCATTTTACATGTATTCGTTTAGCAGCAATCAAATTCATAATGCATTCATGTGTTCCTTGTCTAGCAAACATCAAAGATCCAGTGGTGTTCCATTAGCTTTGTAGCTGATGTTCATAACAAATGAATCTACTGAAGACAGAATGGGAACATTCATTGTTGCAGCTTCCTTTTTTATGCTGTTTTAAAATGTAGTCGTTAACTGTTATCTCTTTGCCATCCTACTTATGGAAGGCATTCCTGTGTGCACAGTGGAGATAATGGACATGAAAAGATTGTTTTCATGAACGGTTTCATTTTGGCAGTCTTACTTGCTTTTGCAGATGTGCTGCTACCTCCATCCTCTGTCTCTCCTCACTCTGATATAACCCTGAAATTAAACCTCCAGCTCCTCCTGGTGGTTAACATCAGAAATCACACAACGGGAGGAATTATGTTGATACTCTACTTTATAGATCATGTCATGTAAACTAAACTTTAATGAGCAGTATATAAACTATAATAGGCACATTTCTGAGTGATGTGCAAGACTTGAGACTAGCACTGTGTAGAAGATTTTTTTTTTCTCCCAGGGACAATAGACACAATTTATTTAGTTTAGTAACTGTACAAAAAATTATACATAAATATTATACCACAGAACGCCTAATTTATCAATTAGTATCTAAAATTTTATATCTAATTTAATATCTAAATACATTTTGTTCAAAATTGTATAATATTTCTGTAATATGCAAAGTATTCCAGAGAGCTGAATATTAAAGGGATAGTTCACCCAAAAATGAAAATTTAGTTGTAATTTTTTTTCTACCCTCAGTTTGTTCCAGACCTGTATGAGTTTCTTTCTTCTGCTGAACACAGAGGACGTTTTGAAGACTGTGGTCTCTGGTCTCTGGTCCCCATTGACTCTCTGAAGAAAGAAATTATACAGGTTTGGAACTTGGGGTGTGTAAATGGTGACAGAATTTTCATTTTGGGGTCAACTATTCCTTAAATGTCTAAATATTGTCTATGGAAATCTTTAAATGTATAAAGGTGTGTGTGATGGTAAAGGGTTAGGGATAGAAAAAAAGGTTAGTAAATGCAGTGCAATTGTATTGTAAAGTGTTACCCAAAATATAATTGGGTGAGAAAGCAGAGAGAGTTTTGGTGTTCAAATCCCTAGAGCCATGTTTCTGTCTCAGTTTTTAACAGACAGGGTAAAGCTACTTAGAGAAAATTAGTTTCTAATTTTAGTTTCTCTTTCTCTCTCTCTCTCTCTCTCTCTCTCTCGCTCTCTCTCTGTGTGTGTGTGTGTGTGTTTATGCTTGTCTGTTTGAGAGCTTTTTTGGCTACAGAAATTATAAAGCTGATGCTGCTTAATGCTCCTTTGTATTGTAAAAAGTGCCATACAAATAAACTAAACTGGCTTGAATTTGTCAGAAATATACACACGTTTAGTTGTGTGTTCTGACTTTTATGTAGAATATATTTATGTGTATCTACATAACTGAGTGTAGACCAGAACATAAATCTCTTTTCTAAAAAAAATGTTTTTAGGATTCTTAAAAGATACAACATATTTCACACACGTTTATTTTGCACGCTCTGTTTCTCTCCGCTGAGGGACTGGGACAGTCCCATGGGCTCGGTTTCAGTTACAGTTAAATTTGAAGTGACACGTCTGTGGTGACGAAATCATTATTAGTTGTTTGTTGGATTAAGCACGTCTCCACTTGTGTGAGAATGGAGGAATCTAGACCTCTACATTTTCTTTAGCATCAAAATGTGTGCATTTGTGTGTCCTTTTCATTCAAAATATATCATATTTGTGTTTGTTACACTTCCATTCATCATCATCAAAACTATTTAATAATATATTTTAAAAAATAATAATATATCTTACTGTTCAACTGTGGTATAGGATTGAACTGTTAAATCAGGGTACAGGGCTGCTAACTGTATGCAAACAGTAATTAATTTGAACAAAATATGTTAACAGAAATGCATCATCGTGTAGCAAAAACTAATGACTGACCTCACATCCCTCTCTCTTTTTCACAGATATCAGAATGTCAAAGCCAATAGAGGTTGAGAATCCAGCGGCAGACTCTCCGATGGAGAGCACAGGTATAAAACTACATTATATTTTCATTTTTTTATAGGTCTGCAACAAGGATCAACAAAAAAGAATTTTCTGCTCAGATATTTACTTGACATAATAACATTTCCAGCCTATTTTTATGTGTTAACAACATTCTAAAATTATGAAAATAATAAATCAATAATAAACAATAAACAAAAGTAGTGCTGGGCAACGATTAAACACGATTAATCGCATCCAAAATAAAAGTTTTTGTGTACATAATATATGTTTGTGAACTGTGTATATTTATTATGTATATATAAAGACACACACATGCATGTATATATTTAAGAAAAATATGTTATGTTTGTATATTATATATATATTTATATATAATATAAATTATATGAATATAAATATATACATGTAAATATTTTCAAAAAATATGCTGTATGTGTGTCTTTATATATACATAATAAATATACACAGTACACACACATATATTATGTACACAAAAACTTTTATTTTGGATGCGATTAATC